GTGACAGTCAATCACACAAGGCGTTGGTAAACAATTACCCAAAATTAGATGGATTAGGTACGACTATCCAAGATAACCCTCGTGTAACTTTGCGCGAAATTCAAGCGAGTATGGTGTAATATGATAGTTTAGGAGGAACCTGACCCTCCTAGGTCACAAAAGACCTAAATCCCGATCCGGAGAGAGAGAGACTCTACCGTTATTGAAGGGTGTATAAGGAGTTGGTAACTTGGGGTTAAAGAAGAGAAGAAAAATTCTGAAGATGTATAGTTTCTACTACATGCAGAAACTGGGGCAATTGTGTGTTCTCTTATATGTTAACTTATTTCAGGCAAAGTACATATTAATAGTTTTATGACTTAAAAATCTTGAAACATGTTTAATCAACATAAATTTTGAATTCTTATACAAATATTTAGAAAGAAAACTAAACGAGGAAAATGGAGCGTGTACTTTATTCTTGCATAAATAAAACGAAAATCAAATCATGACTCGAAGTTAAATCAAAGATTTGTAATTTTATATCACGAATATGGAACACAAATATTTATACTGTGCGATTTTTGTAATAATTTTGTGTTGTAAAATAATATTTACTATAAACAGTATCACACAAATGTAGCGATATACGACGTTTATTACATCGCAAGCGTATTTATTTGTTTTATGTCAATGAAAAAAGCGACACCTATAAAATCATATCCAACACAACTTGGGTTTAAGAATGGCACAACCTACTTTTAACTTAGCGTCCACTGTTGCTAAGCAATTTCAGCCACGTTGGTACTTAACATAGTGACGTCATTACATATCTGATGTAAGCGCTTCTTGCAAACAGACCCCTCCCACGACGTTGCACACGAAACTCAAAAACTGATCCACATGCATAGTAGGGTAGTTCGTCTGCTGGCGGAGGTGTGATTTGCTTCTGCCAAGACAGGCCGGGTGTCAAGACCGCTGAAGACTACGAGCGACAGCTAAAGCTGCGCCTTGGTCAAAGGGACTTGGGGAATAAGGTAGTGGCGGTTGAGCTTATAGGTTGATTACGATAACGTTTCAACCGTTCGATTCGAAGGATTTTCGAGATGTCTTCGCAAACGTTGACAATCAAACTGTCCCGGGGAGAAAACACACCCTGGGGGTTTCGTATACAAGGTGGAAAGGATTTTAGTTCACCCTTAGTCATTCAAAGAGTGAGTAAATTTTATGCCTTCAGTTTAAATATCAGCAAAAGGAAATGTCTAAAATGGATACCACGTGTATTCGAGCTTTTATTTGTTTATATAATACTGGTTAACTGTCTTGCCAAAAACTCGCAACTGGCCTACTTGTTTAATATTGTAGTCCAGCACTACAGCAGGGATATTGAGAAACATAGTTGTTTTTTAATGAAACGGAAATACCTTTCAAGTCGACTGCTTTGAATATAAGTTACAAACGAATTAAGTTAGTGCCTTGGATATATCTGGCAGGTTTATTTATCGTATAACAGAATAATGTAATATTTTCATAGGTTTTAAACAAATCAAGCGAAGTTTGCCGTTGTAACGGAATAGTTTCCGACTTGCTTAATTTGTTGCATATGTTTAAGAAGATGTGAAATGGGTGTAGAGTTTGCTTATGCTAGTGTACAATGATGATTTCTAAATAAAGCTAGTTATTCATTAACTATTATGGTTAATTTTTAATCACTTGACAGAGAACATTAAACAAAAGAAGTTTCTTAGCATTTCGCTGACGTCAACGTAACCAGATCCGAGCTACTGAAGAGTAATGTTGTATTGCTCTATAACGTAACAGCGCTCTGTGCAGGAAAACCCGCCCTCTAGCGACAGGCATCTTGAAAGCCAGTAGTGTTTTCTCCCTCCCATATAAGGAAGCACATCGACCTTGGTCACAGTTCAATATGAGTAACACTTAAATCCTGCCAGATAAGGGTGTTTACAGTATTTTTATTTTCTACAAAAACAGCATTTTGCTATTGATTCATAATGTACCAATAAGAACTAAAACTGCTTAAACTTTGGGATCCTGCCCCTACCTTTTAACATTACAACTTACCCTGAAAAACTCGATAAAAGTATGATGTTTTGTGAAACTTCACACTGATTAACATGTGAGTGTTAATGTACATGATTTTAGGTTACCTTTTATTTCTTTATTCATAAAAGTATTAGCAAACATAGGTTTGTGCTTCTCAACGACTGCTTTAGAACGTTTTAGATATCAGATGTTAAGAATGAGGAAGAACGCAACGGAATAATATGTTCGGATCTTAAAAAGACGCTTCGGTATTACATTCTCTGATTAAGGTGTAAAAGGTCACGTTATAAGTTTTCGGGATCAGATGCTAAATCAACATAAGTGTTGCTCTCAAGTTTGTAATATTACTTTAACAAGTTGCGACACCAGGTGATAATAGTATTCTAAAAAGTTACGGTGTGACATTCTAGAAGGACTTTCCTGAAACGTTGCGGTTTCAAATGTTAAAAACGTGTCATACTCGTCCCCTAAGTACAAGTTAGCTTAAAAGCAGATATGAATTCGTTTAAGTTAATTAAAGTATCTTTCTGCGCGATGTTTTGCCTCCATATACTTTTAGCGACGCACAATGTCACATTGCTGTAATGTCTCATTATTAAAATTAATTATTATTCTACAAAACCTTAATCTAAGAAAACGAAATTGCTGGTTTCAAGACGTTTGTTACAGTGTGTCTTTAGAGATATTCCCTTTTTTGGATATAATGAATGTTGAAAAATATAAAACTACTGTGAAAAAAAGTCATGACCAAGTTATGTGTATTTGTCCGTTGGAACTGTATTGTCAACACCGTGTGGGCACTCAGTAACGGAGGGGACGATAAAAGACGTTTTTGTACTTACGTACTTTTTTATATATAAATCTCACGGTACCAGCAGGGCACCGGCAGTCTGTTCTTGGTGTGAAAAGTCGAATACCTAGTTAGTAATATTTTCCGTCAGAGTGAACATTTCCTAGCCTGGAAAGGAATGTTTCATCTTGCACAAGTTAAGACTCTCACCTTGAAGCACGACAGATGCAACACAGTATAAAGCTTTAGGCATTAGCTTGGTGCTTAAGAATGATGTGGAGGGGGAGAGGGGGGGCAGTATATAAACTTCAAATTTGGTTAACATAAATAAACATTAAATGGATTTAGTTTTCGAAAATTGCTAGTTATTTAACCCTTGATATAAATTAGTGTTTGTTCAATTATAATTAATTTAGGCCCTCAACAGAAGTTAATTTTATATTCAGAATTCATTAGACATTAACTTTATTTTCAATATCCGTTAAAAGTCGCTTTTATTCAATATTCAATGAAGGTTACTTTTAATCCACCATTAATAATTCAACAGAGTCTGTCTCTGCTAAACTTTAGTTGGCGATGATGTTTTCAGTCTTCGTTAAGAAGTTAATTAAACCAAGCTCTTTTGAGAAGTTAGCTCCTGTTTTCATCCCTTGATAAAAGTCAGAATCTCTGGTTAATATTTCATCTAATTCTAGGAAGTTGTTTTTATTTAGTCAGCTTTAAGAAAATATACCACACGTTTAAAGAAGTATCTTGTTAGAGCTTTCATAAAGATTACTATTTTTGTGGTAGCAGACCGCACCAGTTATTGCTAAATTTAGAACATCGTACTTTAAGCCAGCTAACATCCTCGCTGTGGTTGGGTTTTCATTCATTTATAGACTTCCACACTGTACAAGTCATCTATAGCCCCATAACCACATATATAACTACCTAGTAGGCCAAAACGACAGGACTGAATCCATAATGAACCAAACAGGACAAAGGGAATGATAGTTCAGTTCCATCGTGAATGAGAGGAATTGTAACAAATGTACGCTCTGCCACCAATATCTGTAGTCAATAGTAAAGTTTTTTTCACATGTTCAGGCCATATTAGAAATGATTACACAGTTAAAACTCCTCACTGTTCTTTCCCACGTGTCTTTATCAGAGCAGTTTATTTTAAACACGTTAAACCATTTAACTGAATTAAAAATTTAATTACATAGGCCTTAAAGAATATAGGAAAGCCACCATTACTTAAATATGAAACCAAATAAACTGAACTAAGTAAAGACTGGTATTTGTAGTATCAGGATACCACACCATCAACGAATAGCTTTCTCTGTTGTAGGAGGACACCATGCTTCAATCGGAAGTTGTAAGTAGGTATATATGACTTGACTGTTGAAAGACAGACAGATGTATCAGGTAGATAGATACATGTGATCTAGCTAACAGATGAAAAATAACTGGAAGTTAGTAGGTACATATGACATAACTAACAGATGAAAAACACCAGACTCTGTAAGTAGATGTATATGACTTAATCTGACTATTGAAAGACAAACAGGGGTATCAGGTAGGCATAGCTTACAGATAAAGAACAACTAGAAGCTATAAGTAGGTGCATACGTAGTCAGATTATCCTTTGGATCCAAGCCCAGAGGCCTATATCTAGGGGGCTATCTGTGCTCTGCCCACCACGGTAATCGAAACTTGGTTTCTAGGGCCTACATATATGTAAGGGGTCCATAAAATTTTCAACTGTGTTCTTTATTCATTTTCCAGCATGGGTGTCTTTACCAGAAAATGTTTCTCATCAAATTTTATATTTTAACTGAGTATGGTAATAATCAATCTGTAGACATTAAACAATATAACATTTACAGTTTTACATTTTTATATTGTGACTAAGTTTCATTACTGTAATTAAATGTAAATGATTTTATAATTTTTGATGAAAAATTTAATTAAGCCTCCTATTCGAGAATATGAGAATACATGGACCCAGAACGGTGCATTTTTTTGTTAGGCTAGCTGCTCAATATTTGTTTCGTTCTTTTCAAGATATTAATCTTCATAGGTTAATTCTGTTATGAATTTTATCACTGATAAAAGTCATAATTTAGAAGGGTTTATAGTGGGTCCTGGGGCCCGTGCTTGGGTAATCTGGTACTTGCTGAATGTGACCTAATCTAACTATTGAATGGAGTTTTAGGTATATACATGTGACCTAACAGCTGAAAAACGACTAAAAGTGGTCAGTAGGTACACGTGACTTATCTAATAGCCAAATAACAATCACAAGTGGTAGGTCATTACATGTGACTTCTTTGTTTGTTTTTGATATTCACACAAAGCTACAAGAAAACTATCTACGTCCCTAAATTTTAACTAATAGATTAGAGGCAAGGAAGCTAGCTTGTCTACAGCACCCACTGCCAACTAGGTGTCGCTAGGTCCTGGCACACGGGACCCATGCCCCGATTCTATTTGGCGGTGCTCCGAATCCCCAGTTGTGTGTTGAAAAATCAGAATAGTAAACCATGATCGATATCATACTGAAAAACCGAAAATTCCTGCGCATATGGGCCCGAGCACCGAATATTTTAGGTCCCTAGCGACGCCTCTGGTAACTTTATTCAACTAGTGGGATTTGATCGTCGCACTTTTAACGCTCTCATGTCCCCAAAGTGCAAAGCACTATTTTGGGGCAATGGCACGCAAACCTCGGGTTTACAATTGGGCACACTAGCCATTTGGCCACACTCGGAACCAATTGTTTGGGAACCGGAAGTTATAAGTAGATAAACGTAACATAGGTAACAGTTGAGTTGCAGCGGAAGTGGTAAATATACATCTTTCCGATTGAAAGGTGGCGGCCTAAATTTAAACTTTTGGTTGTTTTTAACTTTCTGATTTTACGGACTTATAATGCAAAGATCCGGAATTCAATTCCCCGCGGTGGACAAAGGGCGTATAGGAAAAAATTGCGACTAAGGAGTTTCGTAAATAATCTACCAAATGAATTTCACGTTTTCAATTTACTTATAATTTCTGGTAATGCGACGATAAAAAATTATCAGTAAGTTTAAAACGAGAAATGTTGTGGTAGGATATTTACATTTAATTCGGTTAATTGAACAACATGCGAAAATACTATAAATTTACTTGTGTGTGGTTTTCATTTCAGATACGTTTTTAATGTGATATCCTGTTCTTTACTTTGAATTTTCTTTTAAAATGTGATGGATATAAAAAAATAACAATTCAAGAGAGGGAGGAAAAGGTCTACAATGAACCTGGTCCATAACATGGACAGAATCCCGATGAAGAAGTCAGGATATACATATATATTTTAGTAGTGTTCTTTTT